AAAGGGGCCATACTGAATTCCATTCTGTGGCCCCACATAGACCATCTGCAGATGAAAACAAACAAACCCTTATCAGGACACTTCATTCTACATTCCATTTTTAGGGACAGAATTTAAACCACAGCTGAAAAGTTGATGGTGTCCATTTTTGGTAGGTAATGAGGGAGATTTTCACTAACCTGTACTTTGTGGTCAGATGATGTACAATTACCAAAATCTCCAGTTTGGCCAACTCATTCCCAGGACATGAGTGGGTCCCACTGCCAAATGGCATGAATGTATTGGGTTTTGGAGCAACCTGTCATATATTATTGAGAAAGTTTTCATTTCAGTTCATGGGTTGTAAACAAAAAAAAATAAAAATTAATCAGTAAATATTAACCATGTCTGTGAATTTTTACCTCAAATCTTGATGGATCAAACTTCTCAGGCTCAGCAAAATTGTCTGGGCTATGGTGAATGTTTCTAAAGAGTGGTAAGACTTTCCATCCTTTTGGTATATGGTACCCTGAAATTATTGTAGAAAAATAGAATATTAGAATAAAAAAATCATAAATATTGGAACAAAAAAGGATTTTTAACACCTGGGTTGTTATAATTTTGCCAGATTTTGAGTTTTAACAGACCTTCAAATTCAACATCTTCTACAGCTTCTCTGAAAGTAAAAGATAAGATTGAAGCCACTCTGAGTGTTTCTTGAATCACCCTTGAAGTTAATGGCATCTTCTTAGTATCTTCCCAAGTCAGAACCTTCTCTTCAACACACTCCTTTGTTCTCATTATGGCCTCTTGCTCTTCCTGTGAAGTCAAAAGCCAGCACACAGTTTTACTTCACTGCCACATTTACTTATAAAAAAGTTATCTAGAGGATGAGACTTTCGTTATCATAGGGTTGATTGGGTGAGATGTATGTAGTCTTAGCCTACGTGCAGGAAGGCTACACAGAGTAGAATAACCAGTACAGCAAATTAAGATCTTTTTTATGGGGGTAGGAATTGGAGTCCTTACAGTGACAGCTTGTAGGACGGCTGGATTTTCAGCGAGGTACTTGACGATCCATGTTAGGACACTGGCCGTCGTGTCACGAGCTGCGAAGATGACACCGATGATGTTATCGGCTATTTGTTCGTCGGTGAGGCCTTCTTTGTCACCCATGAAAGATCCAAGCAAATCATTGTGATAGTGTTTCATTTCCCTCCTAAGTGAGAGGATTTTGGCCAAGATCTGAGCTAACTCCTTTCTTGCTTTCATGGCCTTGTTGAAGAGTGTCCCCGGAAGGTTAATGGGCATTGAATTGTACCCCTTCTCTAGAATGTAGTAGCATCTCTTGAGATCTTCTCTGTAGAGGACTTCATCCTTTCCAAATATGGAAAGTAATGCAACATTGAATGTGTACTGCAACAATTGATTTTTACTCGGGTCAAACCAGTACCCATTACAGTAATTAAGGTAAATTTCGAAAAAATAATTCATCTCTCAATAATGTTACGTTGACCAAATTTTTGGACCAAATTAATAGTCTAAATGATATGACAACATATTATTTAGAATTTTTATTGAACCCAAATAACATGACACAAAATAAAAAAATTCAAGTCAGCTGTCATGTTATTTGAGCTTTTGATTTAGTCAAAAATAGAGAGAAAAAACAGAGAACTCTGTTTTCCTCTGTTTTTTCTGCTTTGCTCTGTTTTGGGGGGGAGAGAGGGAGTGATAGAGCAGATTTGGGGTGACTTACTGTCTTCATTTCTTGGTAGGTGGTGATTAACTGGCCTTCCCATGACTGTAGAGAGTTGATAGCGATTGATTCGATATCCGAAACGATGCTTTTGATTCCCTCGGGCATGAATGCTCTCAGAACTAGCTTCCTCAACTTGGTGTGGTACTCTCCTTGGTGGAAGAAAATTGCTTGTTTGCCCAACATCCTCTCTTTACTAGCCGGAAATGTTGGTTTGAAGAGATTGGCCTTTGTCACAAGCACTAATTTCGCAGCCTCCGGGCTTGAAATCATCACGCAAGGACAACCCAATATGTGAGTCTTTAATATAGAACCAAACCTGCAAAAAATCAGCAAAACCCATCTATAAGCATCACAAAAGCAAGAAACAGAGTAGACAAAAGAAGAGAACAAGATGAATTAGCACCAACTTTTTCACTTTGGAAGCAAAGAAGACATTTGGGTTTTGGGAATAGAGTTGAAATGTTTCTCCAATATAAGGCCAACCCATAGAGCCAGGTGGAAGAGGAAGTTTCCGGTGACCGGAGGCACAGAATTTGAGAAAAGAACGGAGGAAAAAGAGGGAGAGAATGAGAACACATATGCTAAACATGAATGTCAACTCCATGTTACATGAAATAGTACTAACGAGTAGAGAACAGGCTTCGAATCCCATGACCATCCTCCGGACAATCGGAAAATTGATAATGGGTAGCTCTTTAAGTTAGTAATGAGTAGTAGTGGTTTTCGTAGGTGTGAGGTGAAGTGCACAGCGAGGGGTATATATAGGAAGAGGGGGGCAAAAAATGTGGCCTTTCAAGTACAGCTTGATCCCACATACGGAATCTCCCTCCAGCTCATGTTTTTGGAAGTAAGGAGAGAGAAAGAGAGAGGCAATAGCCAAGAAGGGAGCGAGGGAGAGATGGGCACGTGTGAGTTGGGTTGTGAAAAAAAAATGTGTGTGTGGGGCGGGGGGGGAGGAGGTTGCCGTGACTGGCAATAGCTATCACGAAAGAGAGGTTACCAAATGCCCTTAATTGGCTACCCGTACCATCATGTAAACTTTTCCTTTTTTTTTTATTATTATTTTTTTAAAGTTTAAAGGTATTTACTCAGTTTATGTATATTTTAATTAATTCTTTCTCTAGTTCGATCAAAAACAGATCATCGATGCCGGAACTAAAATATTCATAAGGAAGGTAGCCTAAAAAATTGTCAAAATTTAAATTAAAAATATTAAAATTTACAGTTCTATTTCTGTTACGATTTGAATTACCACTTTACTTCCATTTTTTTTCAAATGGGCTATAAAATCTAACTTTGCCCGCCATCGACAATTTATGAATTGCATCGACAATTCTCACTTGTTTTGAGAATAAATAATGACCAGGTGACAATTAACACAATCTATGGAACTTGAATAACTCAACTTTTACTTATAAATCGTTGTGTTTTGAATTCGACCCAAATTAAAATATTTTTAACAAGTTACAAATCATTTCATATTAGAGCAGAGAATGAACCTGTCAATGTATTTCGAGTGTAAAGAGTTAAAAAAGTATTGTTTTTAATTCAAAGTTTGACTATCACAAAAAAATTAGATGCATATAATTTGTGAATTAAGAAAAGAAATATGTTCACCATTTCCTTAAATGAATTGCTTTCAGAGTTAAGTTTTCCAAACTCTTACAAGTGGTATTAGATAATACTTCCAACAACAACAAAAAAAAAAAAAAAGTCAACAAAATGTTAGCTTGGTTTACTTGCAGCAAGGATAAAATTACAGAAGGGGAAATTTTACACCATCCTTAAGAAATATGTTCTTTTCTGTTTTGAAAACAACTCTAACTCATCTTATTTCTTAGATAACACGTTAATGCTTAATCATAAGGAAGTAATAAATAATAAGTATATCGATAATAAGCATCAAAATTTTTAGAGATGGATTACAGGTACGTAATTGATGGACTTTAAAAAAAATAAGCAAAAAGTGGATGCCCAGTTACGCCTATTGGGATTTTGTCAACGGGAGAGATTTAAAAAAGGGGTCAATGGCATTTTACGTCCTAAAGTTTTCAACTCCCTCTCAAAGTAACACCATTCCTTTAATTTGCCAAATTCGATGTCATGTACGTCATACGCAAAATCTCTCTCTCTCTCTTTCTCTCTCTCTCTCCCTTCTTTTGACGGAATCCTCTCGTGGGCTATTTTTTTTTTGTTGTTCTTCTTCACGATGAAGAGATCTATCTCAACTATAAATTTTTTGGACTTATGGTTCTAACACAAAATAAAGATATACACAATAACTCACAAAACCAAGTTAATTGAATAAACAAGCGTCTCTTACAAGATTTAGACTTAAAATCTCGAATTAGTGGTCTCTAAAAAGGTTATATTTACAAAATTGTCATGAAACAACCTACTGCGTGTTTTGTTTTTTTCCGGTAAGTACCGTGTGTTTTGTTTTGGCAAATAGGCATCATGCTAGCAAAAAGCCTTTTTTTTTATGCTTATATGGAACGATTAATCACTACTATAAATCTCATATATCACTATTCATGCTTGCAAAAGCTTAAAAAGGCAAAGAAGTGACAACTTTAGGCCCTTCCCAAGTTCAAAATAGAAGGCAGAAAAGTCCATCAAAATGATGAATGACTCTTGGAGATCAAAGAAGGTCCTCTGCCTCTTTGAGGACCGCAGCCATAAGCCACAGAGCTCAGGTGGTTTAAAAAAGAAGGCCTTGTGGCCATACTGGTACAAAAGTAGGGGTGTTGTCATAAATACAAGTAAATATTCGGTGCAATGGTCATCCACGTTAACATTGACATGTAATATCACAAACTAATTTCAAAGTACTACGTACGACTAAAGAACATCAATATTCTTATAACTGTTAAATGCAGTAACAAGTACATCTGTATTAAATGGGGTCCACTAGATATGCTTGTTGCTTTATAATCGGTTGGTGATATTATATGATAGTTTGGTACTTGAATATTGTCTCAACACATACAGACACCTCTTTAACAAATAAGTTCATGAACCAGTGTTTGCTTTCTGAGATTGGTGATTATGTTATCAGTGTTTCTTATATGTAATTCTTACTTGTTTCTAAGCATCTACGGTAGTTGTGTCAATGTATAGTCAAGTCCCTCCCCCCACCCCCTAGCATAAATCCGATGGACATGTCCAATTTCTCTGAAGTTTAGTTAAACTTTAGAGATTGACAATAAACGTTAGGTGATTACTATTCAGTCACATCATTGGCATGTTTAATGAGATATCCGCAGTTTGCACGATGAACTTGCCGAAGAAATAAAACAAGTGAAGTGGGTTGAATTATTGATTCAAAAAAACTAGAATTAATTTGGTTGACTTACTGTTTAATGTAAGAGGGCCTTATCTCATCCATCACAAGCAGTACTTGACTTTAAGTAGGATTAATTGCATGTATACACATATTTTTGGGGTAGGTAAGTCACACATATATGTAATCTTTAATTCAGGTCAACGATGAGCCAATTGAAAAAGCTTGAAAGTGGAAAAAAGAATAGTTGATAAACAACTTAGAAATATTAATTCAAATTTTCTTCGTTAAAATACTCTGATAGTAATTAAATTTTTTGTTGCTTGAACTAAATTTTTTGTTCTTGTGTTTTTCAAGGAAGGCTAAAATGCATGTGTGCGCATATCTATATAATAAAACAGGAATGTGTTTGAATTTTATCTCAATCATATTTTTCCTCTCAAAACTTTCATCAATCACTTACCTTACCCATCATCTCTTTGTCAGACTCAAACATTAAATCACATTACTTATTTCTATCACATATTTAATCATTTATATATTTTCTCCTTAAAAACATCACATCACTCATTTTTATTATATATTTAATCATTTAATATTTGATTAATTCGTAATTAATATATTTTGAAAAAATTTAATATAGTGTGATTGATTTTTTAGACGCACAAATTTTATATTTTATCGTGCATTCAGGCACGAGTTATGACTAGTATATATATATAGCGCCTAGGGCTTATTATGTAGCAAGTAGATAATTCCCAATGGAACGTCGATGAATTTTGTCATCAACTTTGATTAATTAATTTCAAGAAAGATATATATATATATATATATCTTTCCTATTATAATAGGTTGTTCAAAAAAAATTCCTCATCTACAATCAAAGCTTATGCTTTTTTTCAGGGTACTCGTGCTTTAAATACCCCAAAATGTTGTTCAACATCTTGAATTAGTAACCCCTTAGAAGGTATTGTTAAAAGATCGCCAATATGTAATAAAATAATTGTAGTAGTAACTTGTTGAGAACTCAGAGTCTTCGCTATATGTGATGTTTATGTCATTCTGAAGTGACATTTTAATTTGCTAATAAGTGATTTCATGACAAGTTTGTATATTGTTTTATTATGACAGACAAGATTATATGTATACATACATAAATACATGTAGGACAATTGTAAACTTTGCAGTATATGAAGTGGATAAGGTTATCCGACATATGTGCAAGGCAATCTGCCTAATATTGCCACTACCCAAGTATTTAGGCCAAGGCAAAAGGAGAGAGAGAGAGAGAGAGAGAGAGAGAGAGAGAGAGAGAGAGAGAGAGAGAGAGAGAAATGAAAGAAAATGTCGGTGGTAGATGCATGAAATTTTAGTCATTTAAAGAAAGGGCCACCACCCTTGACGGCCACAAAGCTAAATTGGTCAGAGAAGGAAGGCTTGGTGGCCGTACAGACACAAATTTGGGTTGTTTTTTATGTGGGCAAACTGTCACTTGTTTGAGTTTATGGCAACTACCAATGTCGACACCGCGTAAGAACATAAATCAGTGTGTGCCTGTGTGTGCTAGGTTCAACGCATGGGCGGATTCAAGAATCAAACTTGAAAATGAAAGTACAGGAAAGCGATGACTTTTTGAACTTTTGAAAAAAGATATAGAGAAGCATAACCGCCGTTATATAACGGTAACAAAAATTGACGATACCATTACGCTTGTTAGGGCAGTCAGAATGAATTTCACTTTTGTAAACAATTTTTATCTAATCTTTCGAGAAAATTTGAAAACCCTAGACACAATTTTAGGTACTGATTTACATGTTGAGCAATGTTATTTTGACTTAATTTATTGATCTAATAAATTTTTGTTATAAGTTTGATATTAGAACTCATTATTGATTGAGACGTGTTACTAATTTAATGACCAGAATTTACAACGTCAATAAATAAGGTTCTAATAATATTTTTTCTAATATTTTTCTGAAATTGTTTACTGCATGGCAATATTCTTTTCAAACAAATATATATTGAAATGAGTAATTTTCTTTTTAACTTCTCGATGTTTATTTTTGCTTCCTCCCAAAAATCCTCACATTGCTACAAAGAAGGAGGCTACCAACCCCACGAGCAAGGCCATGCAAAAGTTGGAAACAAAGCCCTTGCCAGCTGAAGAGGTTCCAGGAGCTGGTGCCTCCGTTGTTGAATCGGCGGTTGGTGCGTCAGCCGCTGGAGGAGAACTAACCGGGGCATCTGCTGGTGCTTCGGCATCAGCAGATGGTGTAGGAGCCTCCGTCTCCGTTATTGTAGGAGCTTCAGCCTCCGTCGGGCTCTCAACCGGTGGTGGTGGTGGTGACTTCTTAGAATGTGGTGCCGGAGCTGGCGCTTGTGGCTTCTTTGGGGCAGCGGTTGGGCCGTAGGGAGCAGCATCAAGGCCCGGTGCTATGATCGGAGCGGAGATTTCGAGCACCGAAATGTTATAGGGCTGAGCGGCAACTGACTTAACCAACTTGACATCATGAGGAGAACCTTTCACTGCAGATGAAAAAACAATCTCTCCATTGGAGTTGGTGACATTCAAGAACCCTTGTTTCTGAGAGGCCACACCTGTTGTCTGGAACAAGGTTGTAAGGAGAGCACTTCCTTTAGACAAATTATTAAGCTTCAAGATATCATAGTAGTCAAGAACCACATGGTTGCTCAAGATATTCTTGATCACATCAATGGGTTTTCCGGCGATCTGTGCAATGTTACCGTCGCTAACGGCGAGGACGGAGATGGTTCTTCGGCTATTGATCTCATCATTGAGGTGGGTCTGGGTTAGAAGATCATTGAAAGTATTGAAACCATCGTATCTCCCCAGAAGTTTGGTGATGTTGAAGGCGGTGACGGTGGAGGAGAGGAGGAGGAAGCAAGAGAAGAGGAGGGGGACGGAGGGACTCATTTTTGCAAGCAAAAAGAGCCTTGTCCACGCAGAGAAATCTTGGCAATGGAATAGGAACGAAAGGCATTATATGCTATATAGGGAGGGGTTGAAGATGCATTGCATGGGAATTGAGGGTGAAGGTTGAATTGTACGGACAAGAGTAAAGCTCTCTCTCCCACAAAGATGAGCCCATACTTTTCGTTTCATTATGTTAGAGTGGAGAAGAGGGAATGTTTGAATTTGACTAGGTTTTATGTTGGTAATAGAGGAGGTTTGACATTCTATTTCTAATGACTAAGTTTGACTTGATAGTCTAAGATATATAGGAATTAAACATGCTTATTTTTTGAAAAATAAAAGTACTAGAAAACTATTATCAAATGGGACCTAAGTTATGGGTACCCAAAGTTTTGTATAAGACATCAATAATATTCTTTATTTTGCTAAATTCCAAACATTATTGGTTAGAATGTCACTTAATGGGATAGAATATATATATTGATATTTGCCTTTTTCACGAAGAATCACTACAACAATTAAGGTTTTTAGTGACAAAATTTTTTGTCCCTAAATACGTATTTTGTCACTAAAGAATTTTAATGATGATTTTTTTGGTATCACTAAAAACTTGTTGCTAATTGTCTATAGTGAAAAATTAGAATAACCACTAATTCTACACGTTGTAGTGACAACACTCTTTCATCACTAAAAAAAATACATTTAGTGACATAAAATAGTCACAAAAGATCTAAAATATTTGTCATTAAAAGGGTATTAATTTCACTGAAAGTAGACCCATAATGATGATAACATTTGTGACATAATCTAATTTCGTCATTTAAACACTTTCAAAAAAATAATTTTTATTTTTTTTGCATGAAAATTGACTCTTAAAAATAACCTAATAGAAGATGTGTTCCAAACCCAATAGGGTAATTGTCCTTTATTCACATTCAAACAAAACATGACAATTAATATAACACAACAAAAGAACTTAAAATTCACTTTTCTCAAATAAAGTATCATCTAACCAAATACAAAATAAGTGTACGAAATAACTGTTTTTCTCGCTGAATAAAAGACAACAATATCAAAAGGAAAGAAACAAAAGAGGCACAAGTGTGATTTTATCCGTTGTAATCAACTTGCATCATCTGCAATCAATCTGCACATAAGAACAACATAAAATGATGTTAGTATGAGTTCAACATGCATAAATTGTTGAAGATAAATGTAACTTTTATAAAACACTTCACAAATGAGGTTCTTTTGCATAGATAACATGAAAGCAAAGGAAAATAACCAAAACAACACCAAAACAAATGCTCCAAAATTTTAAATAAAAAAATTCATTTACGCCCTAGTTTTTAAGATCCAACCCAAATAAGGGAATTTGAATTCAACCCAACAGAAATCAAATTTACGCTCTAATTGCGTAACTTGAAATTCAAACTTTAATTAAATTGTATTTCAACTCGAATTTTTATCCATGTTATCTATGTCAAAATTAAACATTAATTGAATTTTATTTTGATTCAAATTTCACCTCTAGACTTGCATATTGAATACAATCCAATTTCAAAATTTAACCATGAATGACACTCGGGTTGAAAAGTTCGCATTAATCTCAGGTTGAGAGTTTTAAAAATTTTGATTTAACTCAAATTGATTTCAACTTTCTTGAGTTACACTCCTGACTACGTTTGTTGGATCGAAGCACTTTGCACTAAAATCAATAGATTTTAGTGAATGCATAACATCTTTCTTTTAACTAGCTCAGCATAAGCGCCTACGAGTCGGGTTGATTAAACCCTCCACCGAGTCTCAATGAGACTTACTGCATCTCTACACTATCCAACAAAGGCTGTGGCAAGAGTATTGATATTTAAATTAAAATAAATTGTTGGTTTTACTATTGGGATGTTTTAAGGATATTTCAAAATTTTGTGTTAACAAACTGAACAGTATAGTTTGGTCTAACAATAATAAGAGCATTAGGTTTTTTATTTTTGTAGGTTAGGGGTGATATGAGAAATGACATATCAATATGGCATAATTTGAAAATTTGAAAATTTTCAAATGATATAAAGTAATCCACAATGCAATTTTAATTTTAGTGACATAATTAATTTAATCACGACATAAAAATCGTCACTAAAAGTACAAAAGTTTTAATAACAACATTAAAGTTATTACTAAAACTATGAAAGTTCTAGGACATCGAAGTCACCACTAAAACCATTAATGTTTTAATGATGGCATCAAAGTGATCATCAAAACCTTAAAATTTTTAGAAACGACTAATCTCATTACTAATAGTAACTATTTATCATTTTGCATAACGACGGTAAAAGTTGTCACTATTTGTCTAATTTCTCACATTTTTAGTGATGAAGTTACAATGACTAACTAACAATTATTCATCACTAAAAGTTAACATTTTGTGACAAATTGAGTTGTCATCACTCATATTGGACAATTAGTGACAAGTCACACGCCGTCGCTAAAAGAGTGTCCTTAAAGACAACAATAGCTTGGTTACTAAAAAATTTGCTACTAAACCCATAATTTTTGTAGTGAATATGTAGCCATATTCCAGCACTTTTCCAATGTTAATGATCTTTTTTATACTACTATCACAGTTATTGAGAAGGATTGCAAATTAGTTCCATCCTAAATACTCCGATCCTCTTTGAGACTGAAAAACCCTAGTTGTGCATAACATAATTACATGTACTAGTGGGTTGCTAGATGTATAATGAGAATAAGTAGGGGAGCTAATTGATTTATGTTATTTGGTTGAGTAGTCATACTATGGACGAGAGTGTAATATATCTATTAACTTATAATAGGGCAAATTTCGATAAACTTATCTGACGGTCTCAAATAGACTCATTCAATGGTTACCAATATCCCTTTCAAAATTATTCACATTGTACCGTGTTTTTATGCACGGGTTACTCCCAGTATAATATAAAACAGGGCATATTTCAATAAATTCATCCAACGGTCTCAAATAGACTATTTTAATGGTCACCAACATTACTCGCAAAACTATTCGCATCGCACCATGCACATTCATGCACAAATTACTCATAGTATGTATATATATTTGATGCTTTTAAACCATTATTTCTCTATATCGAAACTCAAATTTTTTAACATGTTTTATGTAGATTTCCAAATTAGTTGTGGAACAAGTCAACCAAAAGACGACATGATTTACGTGCATAATTGTCGAATAGAAGAAACTATCGGAATCATTGAAGGAGTTGTGTGTTAATGGTTGGGAGTGTCAAAATGGTACATTTAAGCGTGACACATTTAGCATGACGGCTACTTATTTAGAGACGCTTACAACTTGTGTTTTATGTTGTTTTGTGCTACTTAATTTATAGAAGATGTTTTGGTTATTGAATATGGTGTTTTATGTTACTTTAGTATGATTAAATGTAATACAGATAACCAACTGGGATAGCTCAGTTGGCCAGAGCTTCTGCTTCCCAATGAGAGGTAAAGGGTTCGAAGTCTCTTGGGCGCAAAGCGTGACTGTTTGGTATGATAGAACCTTAGTTATTTGAACGAACCGTATTCAAGTATTTGGTGTAAGTCTTGAACCCCGGCGAAACGCAAATCTTGATTTAACTGGTGTATGAGTCGAGGGACCGGTTCATATTCCGGGTTTTGTCCTTGGTTCTACTCAGAGTTACGAGCCTGAGCGGCATAAGCGTGCATCTACTCACCGAAGACAGACCATGAAATTTTCCCGTTTCTGAAAAAAAAAAAATGTAATATAGATGATTTTTTGGTTATTGAATGAGAAAAAGCTCTCAATTGTTTTTTTTTTTTTAAATATCTAAGGATGTTGTAGCATATTTTTCAAAGCAAGAACACCATCATGTTTTTAAAGCACAATGTAGAATAACAAAGTAATAATAGTGACAAAACATGCTACGGAAACAGAATGGAGTGGAGTCAGTGTCGTTATACTATATCGGGCCACAAATTTATCTCTCCACAATAACACATGCTGTTTTTGGTCCTTCTTCTATCATTTTGGTCTTAACATTTTCGAATTTATCATTTCAATAAATACTTAGGATATCCTTATCAGAACGCCCAAATTTAGTTTTGGTCAACTATCTTTAACTCGAGATGATGCGTATATATACATTATAATAGTTAATTAGGATTTTAATTTCGTCTTTATAGCATTTAAAAGATTGGAAATTCATAAAAAAAATTCCTACATACGAGCATTAGTATTGATTCTACAACACAAATGTCGGGGTATTTCTCTTATTATTCTGTGTTTCGATGCTTAAGTAATTGATTTGAACACAAAGAATGATGCTTTTTTTTTTTTGTATCCTATTACTACTGCGTGTTTCATTTCTCTACTCGCACCATTGCTTTTCGATTTCTTTGTTATCGGATCAAATTTTATGGAAGCACATGTGAACATGTGGTGTGCATCATCTTTTAGCATTGAAACATTTCACAATCGGTGAAATTAAAAGGTAAGCTTGGGATATATTGAGAAAGAAGGGGAGTTCATGTTCTTCACTAGTACATCTCAAGATCCTCTTTTGGAAGGAAGTTTTACCTGTGAGAATTATCAGTGCATTAGAAAATTAACGATGGTATGGGATTATAACTCTGATTTGTTTCATACTTAGTAGCCGTAGCTCTGTTGTACTGCCCCAATTCAGCCCCCCCGTTCAGTTCCTCCTATATTTATTGAGTTTGATCAGTTGTTAATGTAGTAGTAGTAGAGAAATGTTCACATCATGACTTGTTGTTCTGAATCAATGAATACAAAATCAACTATCGGATTCTCGTTCGTTACAACTTGTTTCTTCACTCGCCATGCCATGTTATCAGGATCAAAGGGAATTTCTTAGCCCTTTTTACCCTGCAAGCACCTACTCTTATCCAAATGAAGCCAAAGCTTGTCCAACCTAGAATATCTATATGTTTTTTATGTTTATTAAGCTGTTTTAATTTGCTAGGGCAAA